TATAAGCCTTGGTTAGAAATATATTTTCTCTCTCCTCCTCTCATCTCCCACCTCCATGTGAACCAAGAGGGGCTGAGGTGAGCATGCTACCATGAAATGTGTCTGACTCCTTTATTTTATCGTCTCTCCTATCCTTCTTATTTTCTATAACTTTACAATAATCTTTATATATTATCACCATCCTATTGCACCTACAGACTGGTGATATTGTCAGAGGCTGGCTACTCTGATGCCAGCTCTTCCTGGGAGAAAGCACCTAATGATATGCTTCCATAAGATTACATTTTTAAAATCATTTTATTGGGGGCTCGTACAGCTCTTACCACAATCTATCCATCCATTGTGTCAAGCACATTTGTACATATGTTGCCATCATCATTCTCAAAACATTTTCTTTCTACTTGAGCCCTTGGCATTAGCTCATTTTGCCCCCTCCCTCCTAAACCCTTGATAATTTATAAATTATTTCATGTCTTACACTGACCTACCTTTCTGTTGTCTGTCCCCCTGAGAGGGGGTTATATGTAGATCCTTGTGATCGGTTCCCCCTTGCACCCTCAACCTTCCCCTTCCCCTCCTGGTATCACTACTCTCATTATTGGTCCCGAGGGATTTATCTGTCCTGAATTCCCTGTTTCCAGCTCTTATCTGTAGCAGTGTACATGTTCTGGTCTAGCCAGATTTGTAAGGTAGAATTGGGGTCATGATAGTGGGGTGGGGTGGGGGGTGGAACATTAAAGAACTAGAGGAAAGTTGTTTGTTTTGTCAGTGCTATTCTGCATCCTGACTGGCTCTGTCTCTTCCTTGTGACCCTTCTGTAAGATGATGTCCAATTGTCTACAGATGGGCTTTGGGTCTCCACTCCGCACTCCCCCTCATTCACATTGATATGACTTATTTTGTTCTGGATGCCTGATACCTGATCCCATGGACACCTCATGATCACACAGGCTGGTATGCTTCTTCTGTGTGGACTTGGTTGCTTCTCAGCTAGATGGCCGCTTGTTTATCTTCAAGCCTTTAAAACACAGTATCTTTGATAGCCAGGCCCCATCAGCTTTCTTCATCACATTTGCTTATGCAAGATTACAGTTTAACAAACCCTGTGGCACTACTGTACTTAGTCATATAGGGTGGCTGTGTATTGGGATTTGATTGGATGGCACAAAACAGCATGGACTTCGTTTTTGGCCCTCGAGTGCTATATTGATGGGAGTCCTGGTGGCGAGGTCAGTGGTTTGAACCCATGAGAAAGGAGACCAGGGTCTCTGCTCTCTAAAGAAATGTACTGCTCAGGAACCAAGGGTATTTCCCCACAGGGTCACTGAGTTCAGACTAGATCCCAGGGCAGTGGCTTTGGGTTTAATGCTGTTGCCATTGAAACCACCAGGAAATTTCTCTCTCTATAGCAGCCCCAAGAATGACTTCTTCTGGCTTGTCACTTCAAGACCGTTGCTTTTGGTTAACAGGATCCCTGGTGGCATAGTGCGCTGCTAACGCACACGGTCAAAAATTGGAACCACCAGCCACTTGGAGGGGAACCCACAGGGTGGGTTCTACTCTGTGACTCAGAATTGACTCGATAGCGTTGAGTTTACTATTTTATTGTGGTTTTCCCATGTTTTTTTTTCCTACCTCTCCTCTACTATATTCTAAGGTACTTACAAGCAGGGACTCCAGAGTTCTCTGTATCCCAGCAAGCACCGGGCACGGAAGACAGGCTCCGCTAAGTGCGGGTAAGTGACAGACCGGGGAGCAACGGTGAGCAATCTACACCACTCTTATCAGTTACCAGCTTTGGGCCCGTTTCCCTGTCTGCACAACAGAATAACCGAAACCTCAAGGTTTCAACCCTTGCTGCAGCGGAGTTCACGTGGCCGTGAGTCGTGTCCCGAAGGGAGTCACTTCAGGCTCACGTGAGAAGCACGTGGACGCTCCAGGCAGGCAGGGATTTCACCTCCTCTTTGAAAAACGAACCAACAACCAACCTGTTG